GAGTGAAAGGATTAAGAAACAATGGGTTTGCTTAATCAAGTGGCAGTAACCGGAGGATTATGAAGGAAGATTTGGGGTCAAATTTCTTGCGATCGAAATCAGCAGAGTGAAAGTATTGCAGAACAAGAGTTCGTGCAAATCAAGTAGCGGTAATCAGAGGTTTGTTCAAAGAATTTGGCACTTGGTTTGGCTCAAACCAAGAAAAGGGAAGAAGACTGTTACATCAGCAACATTGGTTTGTTTGTATTGTGAACTCTCTCTTCTTTTGTAACATTTGCATCTTAATATCAAATATCTCAATTCTAGATTCTAGAATTGGGGGCAGACATACCCTATGCGAGGACGACAAGGGGAACTGCCTTAACAAACTATGTGTTCTTCTTCTTTTTCTTTACTTTCCATACTTGACTACTATAATTTGTGGGAATTAAATTGTCGAATTTTCTTGTACTGAAATTGTGGTGTGTTGAGATCATTTCACAATATTGGTAACAATCTGTTTGATTGATACCTAAGAAAACTCATCGCTACAATTTAGTAAAATCAAACCTAAGGTGCTTTGCACATAAGGTGTTTGACAAATTGATTCATCCACAAATTATTCATTGTGTTTAGCTTTATCTTAATCAACTCATTGGAAGTAATTCATAGTCATTGAGGATGATTAAGTGATTGATCAATTGAGTAAAACGTATTGATTCTTACTTTGTCATCATATCCTATACGGTTACGTATATCCGATCTTTTCAATAGAGGATCGTTTAGATGATTGGAGATTCCGGGAGCTTTCGCATATATTTCTGAAAAACAATTTTAAAAAGTGCAAATAATTTTTTAAATGATTTATTCAACCCCCCTTCTAGATCGATCACATCGTCTAATAAGTGGTATCAGAGCGCCGGTTTATCTAGTGCTTCGCATATTACTTTGTAGAATATGGAGAACGATCCAAAAGAGGCTTATACGAGAGCTCCTGTTTTCACCGGTGAAAACTATAGCTATCGGAAAGATTATATGCGTGTGCGTATTGACTTTGTTAATAGAAAGATATGGAAAGTTATCGAGGATGGTCCTATACAAATAACCATGACCAATAAGGATAACATCATCATACCCAAACCGGAAGCACTATGGGATGAGGAAGATGAGAAAAAGTATAGCTATGATTAGAAAGGTAGAAATATGCTTATTGCATCTTTAGGTGTTGGTGAGTATTTTAGAGTTTCACATTGTGCTACTGCTAAGGCAATGTGGGATGCTATACAAATTGCCCATAAGGGGACAAATGATGTTAAACTTGCTAGAACAATACATTGACTCAAGATTTTGATCTCTTTCATATGAAGCATGGTGAAACCATTGCGGATATGCAAAAGAGATTTTCTCATATAATCAATCGTTTAGAAACTCTTGGTCATGTTACTCCCAATGCTATTGATACTAACAAAATTTTGAGATGTCTTAATAGGGAATGGTAACCTAAAGTTACAACAATCAAGGAAGCCAACAATATAACTACACTTGACATAACAACATTTTTTGGGAAGCTTCAAGAGCATGAGCAAGAGATCATAAATCTCAACAAGCACGAGAAAAAGGAAAAGAAAGAAAAACCAAAAGACACAGAAAAGAAGTCTATTGCATTAAAGTCTTCAAGCTCAAAGTCCTCCACCAATAACTCATGTGTGAGTGATTCTAGTGATGATGATGAAAGTTCAAGTGAAGACACGAGGTTGTTTGTGAGAAAATATCATATATATCTCCGAAAGAATGAAGTCCAACACTCAGACAAAAATATCATCAATTATAGAAGCCAATCAAAACCTTCAAGACAAGATGAAGGTAAGAAATCTAAATCAAGAGGATCATGTTTCAACTGCGGAAAACCCGGTCACTACAAACCGGATTGCCCATTGCTCAAGAAAGATAATGTAAAAGACAAATTCCAAAATAGACCTAACAAAGCTAGGAGAGCATGCATTGCTTGGGATAATGATAGTGAAGCTTCAAACAAAAGTGACACTAGTGACGAAGAAAAAAATGTCAACCTTTGTCTCATGGCTCATCAAAAGAAGAAAAGGAATGTAAGTCACTCTAAATATGATCATATTGATAAAATGTCTCACATAGAATTGCAAGGAGCTTTTGATACTCTACAAAATGAGGCTAAAGAAGCTTTTAAATGATTAGCCTCAAACAAGAAAAAAAATTCATACCTTGAGTAAAAAGTGTCCAATTCCAAAAAAGAGTTGGAAGCCCTCAAGGAATCTATGGTAGAGAAAATAAAAAATGATAGCAAAGATGACATGTTTTATTGGCATGATTGGGCTGGATGTGAAACTTGTTATATTTGGCAAAGAGAGGTAAAAACTCTTAAAGCCAAACTTGACAAGGCTTTATAACAAAAAATTACTTTTGGCGTTGATAGATCAAATTTCAGAAGTAGTATGATTAATCCTTATCAAAAATACACTTATGAAATAAGAGATCCTTCAAGCAAAAATAACTTACCCAAAACTCTAACTTGTTTATATTGTTGCAAAAGGGGCCACACCATTGACAAATGTCAATTTATGAGGTTTTTGGTTCCTCAAGGCATTTTCAAATGGTTGCCAAAATGCAACTCAAGTATCACTCACACACAAGGACCTAATAAAAAGTTGGGTACCTATTTCCCTTGTTTAAATTTGTAGGTGGAATATCTTGAGACTACGGAGAAAGGATGATTTCTCGATAGTGGATGCTCAAGACATATGACGGGAAATATCTCCCTATCTTTTGACTTTGTGGCGAAAAAGAAAGGATTTGTCACCTATGGCAACAATAACAAGGGAGCAATACTCGATAAAGGTAGTGTAGGTAATCCCTCTTCTACTACTATCTCTTATTTCCTATTAGTTGATGGTCTTAAACACAATGTTATTAGCATCAGTCAATTATGCGACAAAGGATACAATGTCTCTTTTTCAAAATATTGTTGCATAATTGAACACAATGATAAGAAATATGACGTGTTCAAAGGCTTGAGGATAAATAATGTATACATGCTTGACTTGAATAATGTATCCTTAACCGAAGCTAAATGTCTAGTCACTTTAAGTGAGGACTCATGGCTTTGGCATAGACGTCTAGCTCACTTGAATTTTGATTTGTTAAATAAAATTGTCTCAAAAGATTTAGTAGTCGATTTACCCAAACTAAAATTCTCCAAGGATCACTTATGTGATGCTTTCCAAATGGGAAAGCAAACAAGAATCTCGTTTTAATCTAAAAACATTGTTTCTACAACGAGACTTCTTGAACTTCTCCGTATGGACCTTTTTGGACCATCTAGAATTAAAAGTCTAGGTGGTAACTACTATGGATTTGTTATTGTAGATGACTACTCTAGATTTTGTTGGAGAATTTTATTAACAAATAAAAATGACACCTTTCCGGCATTTGAAAAGTTTGTCAAGATTTCTCAAAACAAATTGAACACTAGCATAGTTACTATTTGAAGCGATCACGGTGGTGAATTTGAGAATGATCTCTTTGATAAATTTTGTGAAAAATATGACATTTATCATAATTTTCTGCCCCACGTACTCCACAACAAAATGGAGTGGTGGGACGTAAAAACTGTGTTTTAGAAGAACTCGGAAGAACTATGATCAATGAACATCGTCTTCCAAAATACTTTTAGGCCGATGCCATTAGCACGACATGTTATGTTTTGAATAGGGTTCTAATACGTCCTATTCTAAACCAAACTCCATATGAACTTTTAAAAGGAAGAAAACTAAATATTTTTCATCTCCACGTTTTCGAATGTAAATGCTTTGTGTTAAATAATAGTAAGGAGAATCTAGGTAAATTTGTCTCAAAAGTCGACGAAGGTATCTTTCTCAGATACTCTCAATCAAGTAAAGAATATAAAGTATTTAATAAAAGGTTACATATTGTTGAAGAGTCTGTGCATGTTTCCTTTGATGAATCCAATCTGAAATTAGTCGGAAAGGGTAATGTTTATGATGGTGCAGGTGTATCTTCGGAAAGCATACTAAAAGATCCCAAAGAAAAGGACTCAGAATCTACTAAAATTGAGGAAGAGTTGGATCAAGTATCTGAAGAAAGAGAGGAAGATCATCCAAGTAATAAAAATCATCTCCCTTTGGAATGGAAAACTTCTAAGGATCATCTCATCGACAACATCCTAAGAGACATATCAAAGGGAGTCACCACTCGCTCTAAGATAAGTCACTTTTGTTATCATTTACTTTCGTCTCTCAAATTAAGTTTTTCAGTAGATATTTGAAACCATGGATAATTACAGAGTCAGAAGTTAATATTGTGCAGACAAAAAAACAATGAGTGTTAAATTTAGGGAGGTTACAAACCCCTGCAATATATGTAATATAATGTTATTGTGTGTTTCTTTCGTTTAACTTTATGTGATGTGGCGTGAACGTCATATTTGCTTAGTTCAAATAACAGAAGAGACAAAAAATATGTACGAAAAATATTAGGAATACTATTATTTAAAGAAAAATTTTATAAGAACTAAAATTAAATGATTGATAATATGTAGGAAAAAAAAACATATTTTACCTTAAATTATATAATAATTTTAAAGAATTTTGTACACTAAGAATAAAAAAAAATATTTTTAATCAATCGATAAAAAATAACATTTTTGCTTAAAGTTATTTAAGAGGGTAATATGGGAATAAAAAAATTTAAAGAGTGAAAGGATGAGTTAGGTATAAAAAGAGACGTGTCTATATAATTTAGGATATAGTTTCCCAAATATATTGCACAACGTGTCTATATAATTTAGGATATAGTTTCCCAAATATATTGCACAACGTGTCTATATAGTTTCAAATTGCCCTATTTTTCAACTCTTGCTTTCTCTCGTCTAAACTTCCACCCTAGCTAAGATTTCAAATTGCCCTATTTTTCAACTCTTGCCGAAATATATTCAGATTCAGAGGAATATACTCGATCGGTAGTTTCATATGGTAATTTTTTACTAATTGTGTAAATATTGTAACATGCATCCCATTGCTTCAAACGTTTGCATACACACTAACTTGTTTGTTTTCTGATTCTTGTATGTTTGAATATCATCAATATATCAATCTAAAGGCAACAAAACCATCAAATTCTACTTGTCCAACCGTAATTGATGCGGAGCTGGAGGATAGAATTAGTTGGTTACCGGGTCATATAGTAGACCAGATTCTGTCACACTTGCCCATTAGGCATGCTGTGACAACAAGTGCTTTATCAAAAATATGGCGGTACAAATGGACCACAATACCAAATCTTGTGTTTGATAGACAATGTGTCTATGCGCCTTCCCGACGACACGATTCACTTATTGTGAGACACCTTTTCACAATTATTATTGATCACGTACTCTCACTTCATTCTGGGCCAATCAACAAGTTTGTGATCTTCTATCAGGATGTCATGAGTGTGACTAACTTTGAGAGGTGGATACTTTATTTAACCAGAAACTCTATCAAAGAGCTTGAGCTGGAGGTATGGAATGTGCAGCCCTATGAGTTACCTTGGTGCTTATTTTCTTGTCAAAGTTTTCATTGCTTAAAATTATATCATTGTTGGATTAATCCTCCATCGGCATTTAAAGGCTTTAGGAACTTGAAAGTTCTTAAATTGGATGACGTTACAATAACTCGAGATGCCTTTGAAAATTTGATATCCGGATGCCCTTTGCTTGAAGATTTGAAATTGATGTATCTTGGTGGTTTTACCCAAGCTATTATTCACGCGCCAAATCTCAAGATTTTTGAGATTTATAACTGCAATGGTGATTTGGAGAGTATTATCTTTGAAAACACTTTCCAACTAACTAATGTAAGTATTGATTTAAACTTTTATATGAACTTTGAAAGCAATCAAAGTAGATTGCACGGATGCTCTAGCCACATGCTCAACTTTTTCAGTCATCTACCTCACTTACAGAGCCTGGAGATCTATAGCTGTTTTTTAAAGGTATAATACTTGAGCATATAAATGTTGAATTTAAATGTAGGAGTGACTCACCTAAATCTCCAACCCCCTACAAATTTGTGTAACTTCGGTTATGCGTATGTCTATATAAGCATGTCTTATGCAATGGAATAATCAAGAAAATAATTTGTGTAATTTCGGTTATGCGTATGTCTATATAAGCATGTCTCACGTTGTGGTCCTTTTTGAGCTCTAACCATTGCATTTCTTACACCATTCTTTTTTGTTTCAGTATTTGGCTGCCGGTGTTGTGCCTGTAAAGCTTCCTACATCTTGTATCAATCTAACTTATCTTATGTTACATATACGGTACCACAACTTGAAGGAAATTTCGGCTGTTCTTTGCTTGGTCAGAAGTTCACCTAATCTTCGAAAAATAGAATTATATGTGAGTTCTCACTTAGTTCGGTTTGACTTTGCTTTCCTTTCGGAATTTTTGTTGTACTTGCACATTGTGTTTTTGTTTTTATGTAAACTAGTAAAAACCCCGATTGTCTGCATGGGTACATGTCTGAGCTGTTGTATGCTTAAGTACGATATTATACCTAAAAGAATACTGTGCATTAAAATACAATTATAATTTAAATTAGACAGAGCAAGATATTTTTGTGAAAGGGTTGTTTTTGTGAAATTGTTCAAAAGTAAATAAGAATTTGAAAAGCGGAAATTTTTGGTTGTTGGCCAATTAAGTAAGTTAAAAAAGCGAAAATTTCTCATGCAAGTTGAGGTTAATTTTATCCATAGTTGTTGAATGTCAAAAATCTTTACTAAAACAATTACAATTTGTTAACCACAAATGACATTGTGTTTATCAAAAGTTAGTAGAGAATTTGAAATCTTTTTAACTTAAAGAAATTGTCTAGACTTGGAAGTTAGTTTCTAAGACTAGTACTTGTGAGTTATGATTTGCTAACATAAGTTATGAATCAGTTGGAATTTAGATGGAGTTAGTTACAATATCAGTATGGTAGAGTCTTATAAATAAGAGACTTGTGTACTTCATTTTATTTTTCTGTTTTTTATCAGTAAATACAATCTTTTACTTTCATAGTTTTAATGTGCTTTATATCTCTCATGCATACAACTTTGCCTACTTTCCATTTGATCGATAAATTTGCAACCATTGCATGTAGGAGGCGGAGGAGGAGGAGGAAGAGGAGGAGGAGGAGGAGAAAAAGAAGGGGACTGCCCTTTTAGCACGGGTCTCCTATTGTGGGAAAGATGTCTTTTCTGGGCCAACCATACCCCTCAGAGTACGACATGTGAGGATAGTAGACATCTCTGGTACCAAATCTGAATTAGATTTAATCAAATTTCTACTTCTATATTCTCCTTTGCTAGAGAAGATGTATGTGAAGCCTAGTATAAATGTCAAACCAGAGTTGGTGACCAAACTAAATCAGTTCAAGAGAGCGTCAAGACAAGTTGAAGTTATTTACCATGGGGAAACAAAGTAGAGACGAAAAATTCCAAAACATTTTGAAACACTTTCTGCATCTGATTTCTGAGTTTGATTATGTTAGTTTCCAAGTTTCAAAATCTAGTAGATCTTATATTTAAAGTAAGACTCATTTGATATTAGTTAGCTCACCACAAGCTACATGTTGAGAACAATTATGTCATGCCATTCTAAAACTACAATAGTCAGAAGCTAAGTTAATCCTAGAGAAGCTATTTGGTTTAATATAGTTTTACAAATTCTTTGGTTCCACTTTTGCAAGAGTCAAAAGTGATTTATCGGTGTAGAATTGATTTCGACATGTTTGATTCTTTGAAAGTAGAATTAGTTGACGATAAAAGAGAGCACCACATCAATGTTGTGAATTGAGAGCATCAAATACCTTTCACGACGCAATGAGTTTGGAATTGTATAAAAATATTCTAGGCGACTCATAAACATATCAATTAATTTATATACCCTCTATTCAAATTACAAAGATTCCACTAAATTGAGACAACTAACATTTGTCTACTTGAATGAAAGTGAGAGTAATGCAAACTGTGGTTTATGGTGTGACTTTTACACCTGTAGGAGTCAAAGATCGTACTGCATCGGAAATGCCACATCATAAAATGGCTTCATCCCGGTACCGCATCGGAAATTGGTTTCATCTCTTGTTAAATGTGATAAGGAGAAAGAGAAGTTAGTTTCCCTTGGAAATAACAAAACTATAACTGGTACTAACTAATTTGTAAAACAGTTAGAAAAACTGTTATAAAGTTTTACACTTTGAGTTACTTGCTATATAAGTAACCTTCTCCCATTGTAAGATTTCAGATTTTGTGAGTAATGAAAGCTCGTTCATCACTATCATTTCTTCTATAATGCTTCTTCTCCATGTTTAGTTTAAGTTTTAACATCATCGACCTGTGATCAAGCTTCACCCGTTATATTTGATTAGTTTTTTGCTCTCACCAATCTCAATTTTCTTTCATCTTTCATATAGATCCTTTCAAAAAAATTTTGTTCATTCTTTGTCCTCATCTCAACATGTCTATTACAAGCTCTTAGAACAGTGCTAATGGAGGATCCTCTTCAAATGATAATAAGAGTTATCAAACTGATACTCTAAATCCCTATTTCATGCACCCAAATGAGAATCGAAAACTGATTCTTGTTTTCCCACTACTCTCCAACAACAATTATCATTCTTGGCCTCGTTCCATGACCATGGCTCTAAAGACCAAGAATAAATTACACTTCATCACCTATTTTTTTGCCTCGACTACCTGATGAAGATCATAATTCAATCGCTTGGGATATGTGCAACAAAATGATTATTTCGTAGATTAACAATTTTGTTGAATCAGAAATTGCTCAAAGCATTTTGTAGATGAAAAGTGTAGTTAAGATGTGGAGTAAATTAAATGATCGTTTTTATCAAGGAGATATCTTTAGAATTTCAGATATTCAAGAAAAAATTTACACTTTAAAGCAAGGTGATTCTTCTATTTCTTCCTGTTATACAAAGCTCAATAAGTAGTTACAAAGATGGAGACCAAGTTATTAGATTTTTCAATGGATTGAATGATCAATACTCAACATTTAGGTCACAATTCATGTTGATGAACTCTCTTTCAAATATTTGTAAAGTTTACTCATTACTTGTTCATCAAGAAAGACAGGTTGTCATACCACTTAATGAGTCCAAAATTCTTGCTTTTCCCAATCAAAATAAGAATTCTCTACAAAGAGGGAATCCAAGTTATCGTGATAGAGGGTGGTAGATTTCATGATGACCGAGACAAAGGCACAAGAATTTGTACTCATTCTACGATTACTAATTATACATTAGATTCTTGCTTCAAAAAGCATGGCTTTCCTCCTCATTGGCAGCAAGATGATGCAGTCAATATTTGTGCAGTTGTAGAATGCAAGACAGGAGAATCCCAATTTGAATTCAATGAAGAAAATAAGCAAGATCATGGTTCTTTGGTTTTCACACCAGATCAACACAAGGCTTTGTTAGCACTTCTCCAAGGATCATCTCAATTACAGTCTCGTAAAGTTAACCACTTAACATCCAAACCTAATTTAGGCACATGTATCATCTGCACTATTCGTTCTGGTACCACATCTCGATACCGTATTGGAAAACGGCTTCATCCTGGTACCACATCAGAAAGATTCAGTCCTGTGAGTTAGCACTGAACCAACTTTGAAAAAGGATATGTTCTTGTAGGTTAGCTTGGACGAGAAACGATTTTTGACCGGGTCGTTTCCGAGTTAGTAAGGTGTGATTGAGAATCAACCAAATATAAATGTAAAAGTACATCATTGTTACTTTCACTGGTGTACTTGTAAAAGTACATTACTCCACTAGACCATTAAGTGAGTTTATCCGATCCTAATTTAATCTATATACTATTATCTCCTTTTTTAAACTGATGTTTAGTAGATAGGTGACATAAATGAATGTTATGTTAATAATAGTAAACATATATAAACATAGAAAACGAGAAAAAATATTTGACTTAAGGTTTCAATAGAATGAACAAAATTTGGAGAATAAGGATTACATCAAATTGTTTATATATACTACATATTAGGATAGACTAAGAAAGACCAAACTACCCTAACAAAAAAATAATAATATATTAATAATAACAACAATAGTAATATCTAACATCTCTTCTCAACCTTAAGTTGCATTAGTCGAGAGCATAGATAATTTGTCAATCAAAAAATGAAATCGTTTAATGGAATGCGTATTCGTAAACAAATCAATAATCTGTAAAATGGTGGAGACAAACACAAGAGTAATTGTTCCATGTTAAAGATAATGACAAGTGAAGTGACAATCAATCTCAATGTGTTTTGTCCGTTCATGAAAGACTGAGTGCTGGGTAATTTGAGTAGAAATGTTGTTATTACAATACATGAGAGTTAATTCAGAAAGAATGACATCTATATCAGAAAGTAATCAACGCAATCAAACTATTTCAGTAGTAGTGAATGTCATAGTACGAACTCGGCTTCTGTAGAAGAACGAGGGACAATATCTTGTTTCTTACTCTTCCAAGAAATAAGAGAATCTTTAAGAAAGATACAAAACCCTGTGGTAGACTTACGATCTGTGGGATCTCCAGCCCAATCAACGTCAGAATAAGCACGTAGCTCCAATGAGGACGATGAGGAGAAGTGAAGACTCTGAAACTGGGTTCCACGAAGATAACAACATATGAGAAGAACAGTTGTCCAATGCACTGTAGTAGGAGAGACAACAAACTGACTAACAACATTAGCAACATAAGCAATATTCGGTCTAGTAATCGTAAGGTACACCAAACTGCCAACCAAAATACGATATAATGTGGGATCCGAAAGAGGAACACCATCAGATGGAACATATTTCACATTCAACTCAAGAGGACTATTTGTTACTCTAGTATCAGAAATATGAGTTTGTTCAAGAATTTTGGCAATATATTTGGATTGAGATAGAAGATAGCCTCTAGGAGAGTAAGCAATTTCAATGTCCAAAAAGTAACAAAGAGTGTCTAAGTCCTTCATCTTAAACTGTTTCACTAACTGTAATTTCAAATCATTAATTCCATATGTATCATCACCAATAATAATCATATCGTCAACATATAATAAGAGTAAAATACGACCATGATAAGTGGTTTTAACAAACAAAGCAGAATCATGATCACTATATAAAAATACAATTGATATAATGAAAATGGTAAACTTCTCAAACCAAGCTCTTGAAGCTTGCTTCAGACCATATACCGCCTTATTCAACTTACACACTTCCCCTTGATTATGAGAAACACCTTGTAGGAGTACCATATAAACTTCTTCTTGAAGATGATCGTTTAGAAATGCATTTTTAACATCCAATTGAGATATATTCCATTGACGAACAAATACAACTGCAATAAGAGTGTGAATAATAGTCATATTAGCAACAGGAGCAAAAGTTTCTTCACAATTCATACTATATTGTTGAGAGAATTCCTTAGTAACAAGATGTGCTTTGTAGCACTCAATTGACTCATCAGACTTAGTTTTGATCTTGTATATCCAACGAGATCCAATAGCACGTTTTCCAGGAGGAAGAGGTACTAATTCCCAAGTATCCATTTTATGCAAAGCATAAAGTTCCTCTGTCATAGCCTGCTGCTAAAGAGGGTTAAGAATAGCCTCTTTATAGGAAGATGGCTCATATAAATTGTGGATAGAGGTTAGAAAAGAAACAAAAGAAGCAGAGTAAGAAGAGTAAACAAAATCAGGAAATTGAGTAGACTTACGGCCACAAGAAGGATAATGGGGAGGCAGAGGATCAACAATCACGAGAGGTTCTTGGGTAGACATGGAGACAATAGGGATGTCAGCATCTGGAGTGGCAGTAATATCAATCTTGCAATTTTCAAAATTACAATCACTAGAAACATTGTCATTATGACTAAAAGGATCGATATGGTGAGTTTTGAACTACTAATAATATGAGAGTCAGATGAAAGAGAGTAAAAAGAAATGTGTTCAAGGAAAATAACATGACGAGAGACATAAGTCTTCTTGCCTCCGGATCATAACAATGATAACCCTTTTGACCATCCCCATGACCAAAAAAAACACATATGGCAAAACGAGAAGACAACTTACTACATTTTACTCATGGCGAAGAACAAAACAAGTAGAACCAAGCACTTTCAAAGAGGAATAATTAGAGATAGAGTCATAAATTTTTTCAATGGGAGATAAACCTGATGTGAATGATGTTAGAATTCTATTAATAACATGAACAACAGTAAGAACTGCTTCACCCTAAAATTCACTAGAAAGTGGAGCAGACAACAAAAGAGAACGAGTAGTCTCAATAATGGGACGATGTTTTCTTCCAGCAACTCCATTCTGTTGAGGAGTGCCGGTATAAGATGTTTGATAAATTGTACCATCAAAATCATGTAATTCAGATAATTTATTAGATGTATGTTCATCACCTAAATC